TCCAGTATGGATGACTCCATGGCTCCATGACAACTTAACAGCATTGAATAACTAACACAAGCCATCTTCAACTTGTCATGCATACCACCACCACCCTCATCCAGTGCTGTAGGTGAAATTGCAACGCCCCAGATAGTGACATGACAACACTAAATTATTTGTATGCAATCAATTTCAGTAAATGTGTCAATACTTAAAACATTTCTTATGCTGCATCTTATATGCATAATGAAACATTGATAATGTCATGTGAGGTTATGACCACTTGTCTGTTTGACCAAACTCCATCTCATAAAATTAGTCATTACTCCAACCGAACCTGTAGAGAACCAGTTGTCATCCATCAGAAATTCTCTACACACATAACAGCTGCATTAGACAGCTACATTCTTATGTATGAAAACGCTAGATTTTAACGAAGGGAACATTGCATATGGACACAGCAAACTGTAGGCAGGTGACTCGCCGGTGCACTGCAGAGATCCATCGAAGTCACTATTATGAAGACACCAGTTGTTTTGGGTTGTCGTGGTATCACACCTTTTGGTGGAATTTCGAACAATAATAATTACTGTATATTGGCAACTTAAATAGTTGCTCTTGAAGATTCACTTGGGAAACACGTAGCACACAAGCCTCAACCACGGTTTTTGAACTGCCACTGTTGCAACTCTCGTATGTGGCCTGAGAACAGACGTTCAAGTAGACTGACCTCACCCCTCATTTAGCTAACTAACGTTGCTAGCTAGTTATTCTAGTGATTGATGCAAGGGTTGTAGAAATTGGAAATGTTCAACAGATACTTCAGAATATCTTCTCGATTCAACGTTTAGAAATTAATTGTGAAATGGCTAGCAGCTAGCGAGCCTATTTATTTCGGCATTTTTGTTCTAACGTTAGGCGAGCAGAAATAAATAGATGCTTTCCTTGTTTGTTTCAAGTGTATTGAGCATCAAATCCAATATATTACCAGATTTGGCACCGAACAGTAGCTGTTCTGTGAAACAGCAAGTGTTGTTGCTAGTTAGCCAACTCGTAGTGTGAGGCTAGCTGTTTAGAACCAGGCTTGGTGCTTGTTGATAAGCACACTGACAGGCTATTTCAGTCTTCTGTTAGCTAAATGCAAACATTATTAAAAGAAGAACCATGCGTATTTGGGAAGCATTAACTAGCATTTTGTATTTTTTTTTTTGGTAAGAATGGTTCCATTTACCAAACAGGTAGCTAGCTTTCTGTAAAGCAGTTTAATGACGCATGTTGTTTGTGACCCTCTTTGCTGAGCCAGCTGACTGATCCATAAACAAGCCAAATGTGCGCCGCTATAGCATTGGCAAGATCACACATTTGATAGCTAGCTAAATTAGCTGGCAAATAATTTTACTTTTACCCTACTTACCTGTGTGATGTCTTAACTTTAAATGCAACTAGCTAAGTGTTTCGCCAACACAGTGTGTTATCAATATTTGCTAAGTGTATGTTTGGTGGCTTATTAATTATTTTCTTCACCAGCTCACTTTTAGACTTGTACTTCTATCTTGCAAGGGAGCTGTGCAAAATGGCGGTCTTTCCTGCATTTACCATCAAACTCTCGGAAACAGGGGATTGGGGGTGTGACCGGCGAGGATGTTTTTTTAATTGAAGTGAATGTTGGACCAAACAATGTTTGCAAAAAAATTTTTGTAAGCGTTTTCTAAATGTGCGTTATATGTAACAATTTTCCTTGCGTTTTCGGGTCGCCTTTAGACCCATTGTGCCATTTAGAATAACAAGTGTCCCCCTTGTCACAACATGGTAAGTTCTAGATCCGTTCTAATGGAAGGATGTGATGTAGTCATTCTGTTATTTTATAGCTCAATGGTCAGCTGCAAAATTATTGCGTTGCCATTCAATTTATGTTGATCAATGTCTTTTGATGTAAGTTGCCTCTTCTCCAGGTGCAAGAGAAAAACAACATTTTGAGCAGCGTGTGAAACGAATTCTGAGAAGTCTGTTGTACAACACTGTCTGCATCTGAAACAAGCAATTACACAGATGTTAATGTTTCTCAGTTGATGGTTGCCAGGTTTTGACAGCTGGCTGATCCTGCCCCAGTATCTGCTTTTAGAGATGTTGATGAAGCTCCGATTCAAACTAGACAGCTCTACAAGTGTTATAATGTCAAATACGTTCGTTACTCACCAAATATGTTTCGCTGAGCAACTATCTCTATCATTAAGGCCGATATTCTAAAAGGTCTAAATAAAAATGTACACGCAATCCAAAGAATGCCTATTCACTCACATCCCAAGGATCCCGGATAGCACTAACCTTACTGTCACGCACAGGTCGAACAGCTCAATACATTGGAAGTGCTGAAGAGTGTTTTTTTCTGTTGCTTGTAAAACATTTTATTATAATTTTTTGGAAGTACATACTGGCCGTCACGGGAGTAAATGAAGATAGTTGCTCAGCGAAACCCCACATTCGGTGAATACCGAACGTATTTTCACATAACGCTTGCAGAGCTGTCTAATTTGAGTTTGAATCGGAGCTTCGTGTTAGAGAGGAGACACTCATCGCTGACATCTCTAAAGCACAGATACTGGGTATGTGTTTCAAGTTTTATAACAGGATATCCATACATCGTCCAACGAAATGCTTACTTACAGGTTCCTTCTCGACAATGCAACAATACGAAATAGTAAAAAAAATAAGAATACGAACATAAAGTAAATGGCAGTAGAATATAATAAACATTTTAGCATATGTATAATACAGAAAGGCACAATTTATAGTACAACATTTACACGTGTATTGGGGATGGGTATAGAACGTCGTTTGGGTCTTTGCGTGCCAAAAAAGATACACGTCAAATAACACTATTTAACGTGTCAAATAAGCTTGTTGACCAATCAGGACCTGAATATGACTGCATGTCACATACAAATTTTACACGTTCATACAATTTTTACGTAGTTATTACACATTGATTACACTATAACTCGTATTTCATATGTCACAACGACTCATTGATACGTATGCTATGATGCTGGTAAAGTTTTGTCTCTCGCACCTGCCTTTCCCCAAGCTCTGGACAGTGCTGGTCATAAAAAAAGCTAGCTAACGTTAGCTGATGGATGCAAACAATGTTCTTCCCCAAAAACATAGCAAAACGACATAATCTGTTTCAGTAGCTATAGTTAGCTAGCTAACTATCTAGCTAGGTGTCATCATCTAAAATACCCCTAATTTATAAAACTGTTCTTATTTGATTAATGGTGGTCGGACCCACCAATGTGAAGCTAGCCATAATAAGGATTAGTCACAATATTGGAATTTGCGGTTAGCCTTCAAAATAAAGGTTTGTAATTGACAGTGATGCAAATTAATACAAATAGTGGAATAATGCCATGGATCATGCTAAACGAGGTTGGATTGTTATATAAATTCAACAAAATAAAATAATTTGTTATTTTGACAAATCTATTGAAATCACACTGGATGTATTAGACTTTAGAATTGCATTGGGGGCATATTTATTTCACTGTACAGCCTTACCTATGGATTATGGATAAATGACATGGGGTATCAGGCTACTCAGTGACACCCAGAGAACATTAGCGTCTTAGCTCTTATTGCAGGACTCTGAAACCACTGTGAATTGAGCCACATGTATTATACCAGTCACCCTACTATGTGTATTGAACACTATTCCAGAGGAAAAACAATACAACCTGGATGTTTTGGAGTCTGATAACTCTGAGGAGGACGTTGGGAAAAAAGCTCTTGGTACTGAGTAAACTGACACCCCATTTAATTGATCCCCAATCCTTAGGTAAGGCTGTACAGTGCAAAATGAATGTCAATATGCACAATAGGCTGACTGGGTAGGTGATTTCACACGGTCACAGTCCCGTGATAAGAGCTACAGCGCTAATATTTGCGTAAACTCTTCACAATTGTGTTCTGTGGGTGACACCGAGTAGACTGATACCCCATTTCATTGCTCCACATTCCAACCTTGCTAAACAGTATCTAGTCTATATATTGCATGATTTCACCAATTGTAACCTTCTGCGTCACTTTCAAAGAGTTACCTTTATTTTGAAGGCAAACTGCAAAATCCACTATTGTGGCCAATCCTTATTGTGGCTATTTTCACAACACATAAACCGGTCGGGTCAAGCATCACCAGCCAGATGAAGTTTATTGGCTGCTTATAACGTTAGCTTTGGGCAACAGCGTTAAGTAGCTGGCTAGCTAGTTATTTTCATGAACTGAAGTTCAATTTCAAGTGGCTACCTATCTAATACTTACTCACATGGATTCCTAAATCATTGCTAAGCATATTGAAATTGACTGCAGTTTCTATTGGTCATTGTTTTCAGGCTAACGTTAGTTGGCATTGGTGCTAGCTAGGTAACGTTATCAAGCTAAAGTTAGCTAGCTAGCTACCCCAGAAGTTGCTAATAACATCTGTATGTATATTTGCAAACATTTTTGATCCTGCTCGTTTGATCCTGATCTTATTTCAAATGCTCACACAAACGTTTTCCCATTCGGTCGAACAAATAATGCACTATTACCAACGCGCTATTGTAAACACATCGTTGGTGGCCGGTGTGTGCTTGTTTGGATACTTTTTTTTGTACAGCTTTGACAGTGCTACTTGATCGTAGTGGTGGCGCTTGGCTTGCACACACAACATTCTATAATATAATTGTATTATTTGACGTGTCAAATTAAAAGCTTTTTTTTTTTTTTTACACGCAAAGACCCAAACTGCGTTCCATAGATGGGGAGCAAGGGTATAAATTGATCAGTATAATAAGAGTCTGGCAGCAGCAGTTGTCGTGTGTGCTAACGCGCGGGGAATGTGTTCAGCAGTCTAATGGCTTGTAGATAGAAACTGTCTCGAAACTATCCTATGGCAAATATATTAACTCGCCCATATTCATGTATCTGGTTATTTTTCTTCAATCTAACCATTTACTTCGTGTGTAATAAGTCCTCCGGACCACAAGGCGAAGTAGCATGTTAGGTTGAATAGTACCTCTGGAACAACACTTTCCTACCACTCATTTAGATGTTGCTGGTTTGTGGTGGGCTGTACATGTACCTCGGATTTGGAATTTTCTTTAACATTTCAGAGGTGCTGACGACGCTGTAAACTAAAGTGTGAACATGTCTGTCGCGTTAGCAAGGATACTGTTTTATCCCACATTAGCGTATAATGTTGTCATGGAAAAAGTATCCTCAAGACGGTGGTTCAATCGCGTGGATCAGACTGTCATTCTAGGAGCCCTGCCTTTCAAATCAATGACTAAGGAGGTAGCTAGCTAATGAATTTTGGCTACTTGTAGCTGGCATGCACGCGCTACTGATTTTCTAATGTAAAAAAAAAACATTGCCATCAACATTATGTTCTACTTCCAGCTGGTGCAGACAGAAAATGTCAGGGGGGTGATAACCATGAACGAGGAATATGAAACAAAATACTTCTGCAACTCAGCTGAGGTGAGCTGATTATTTACTTCCTATGAAAATCAATGGCCCTCTTGGAGAGAGGTGTGGAGTCTTATTTCAGTCCTGCTCTATAAGCTACCTACTCGGCAGCTCATCATCAGGACCTTGATAAACTGATTCAGGTGTGGTAGAGCAGAGTTAGAACAAAAGCCTGTCTATGTGGGTTGGCCCTGCTCTATCTGTTGGTACAGTAATTTAATAGCCACATAAATAAATACAGAACCTCTGATTTAAAAAGAGCTAAATGGTGCCATTGTAGGCAAGGTCTGGGGAATGTCCTGTATGTTCATGTGGACAAGAAACATTGCTTGTTATGAGTTTTATCGTAGGAAATGTGAAGTTGTATTAGAAACAGCTTTGTTTGTTTTGAAACAGGAGTGGAAAGCCGAGGGGGTGGAGCAGCTGCGACTCAGCACAGTGGACCTGACCGGTGTGCCCAGTCTAGAGAACCTGCACAGAGGAGTGGAGTTCGCACTCAGTCACCGGGAAAAGGGCTCCAGTGTGTATGTCCACTGTAAGGCTGGACGCTGTCGCAGTGCTACACTAGCTGCTGCATACATCATACGGGTGAGTCAGTGGCTTTGTCCAGCAAACGACAGTCTTTGCTTTCCATCGACTGCCACTGCTGGCTATCCAGATCATCACTAGTACTGAATTAGTTGCATCTACTTAACTTGTACATCAGTTTGTTGGTCTGTTTACAGATACACTGCTGGAGTCCAGAGGAAGCATGTCAGATGTTGGCCTCTGTCCGACCACATGTAATAATTCGTTCTGCACAGCTGGAGATGCTTCGGCGGTACCATCAGCAAGTCTGTGGCGGTGGTTCCATTTAAGAGTGTTGAGAGGCTGCCAGCATACTTTATTGCACTCTTACAGAAACTGTAAAATGAGCTTTGTCAAGACAAACAATGTGCTGGTTGAAGGGATTTTTGACCTTGAGCTCATTCTTTATTACATAGTTTTGTTACTCTACTGGATCAAGTGCATTGTATAATTCTCAAATGTTTTGTATAATTCAAGTGTTTTATCACAGCTCATCAGAACATGAGGTATAATAAAATGCAGTGTCCATCGAAGTACTGACAGGTGGGTGAGGGGGGTGTATTTAAAAGCATGTTTCTACACATTTATTAATCTTCCTTAATAGGAAATTTGATTACAATTTCTATGTTAAGAAAATTAGTTTTGTTTTGATTGTTACTAATTTCACTGATGGGTTGTAAAAAACGTCTTGGAAAATAATGACTTATTATTATAAAAGGATAGCTATTGATACTTCATCCATTGAAACATAACCGGAGTGAACGTGGGGCCTAATTGTCTGGAAAGCCGATGTTGAAGTGAGCTTTTGAATCAGGAAAGTTTCCGCTCACGACCTCTACAAACCAGAATGTTACATTTACATTTACATTTTAGTCATTTAGCAGACGCTCTTATCCAGAGCGACTTACAGGAGCAATTAGGGTTAAGTGCCTTGCTCAAGGGCACATCGACAGATTTTTGACCTAGTCGGCTCAGGGATTAGAACCAGCGACCTTTCGGTTACTGGCACAACGCTCTTAACTACTAAGCTACCTGTTGAATAAAATGATATGTTAACGTACTTTACCGGTTGTCTGTGCAGTTGGTCCTTTTGGCGGTAGGAATGTGAGACAATATCCACATGAAAGTATATAATTATACTGAACAAAAATATAAATGCAATTTGTAAAGTGTTGGTCCCATTTTTCATGAGCTGAAATAAAAGATCCAAGACATTTTCCATATGCACAAAAAGCTTATTTCTCTAAAATTGTGTGCACAAATTTGTTTACATACCTGTTAGTGAGCATTTCTCCTATGCCAAGATAATCTATCCACCTGACAGGTGTGGCATATCAAGAAGCTGACTAAACAGCGTGATCATTACACAGGTGCACCTTGTGCTGGGGACAAAAGGCCACTAAAATGTGCAGTTTTGTCACACAACACAATGCCACAGATGTCTCAAGATTAGATTAGGGCCTAATGAATTTATTTAAATTGACTGATTTCCTTCTATGAACTGTAACTCAGTCAAATCTTTGAAATTGTTGCGTTTATATTTTTGTTCAGTATACATACAATTTTCAAAGTGCTGGTGGTGTGTTCAAATTTCGATCACCTGAAGCATACGCAGAACCATGTAAAAACATGCACGATCCAGGCAAGTGTGCATGCCTCTCCTGCATTTATTTTTATATTGTGTGCATGCTTCAGATGATTGAAATCTGAACACTACCAGGGCTTTGAAAAGTTTTGTCTCACATTCCTACAGCTAAGACGACCACTGTACAACAACCAGTAAAGTACGTTAAACTGTAATTTGATTCAACATTCTGGCTTGTAGAGGTTTTGAGAGGAAACTTTCCTGATTCAAACGCTAATTTCGGCCTTAAGTAGAATTCAATGCAATTCAACGTCGGGTTTCCAGGCAAGGGGCCTAATAGTCTGGATATCAGTCTCCTAACATTCCACAAGGAATTGAATGTACCTGTACAGAGACTGGCAACCAGGCTAGGCCAAGATACATTTAGGATTAAAATCAGTATAGCAACAGATAGCTCTTGATAAGTTCTATCCAGTGTTAAATTACCTGTCTGAAATGTGCATTAAAAATAAATGGTAAAACCAAAGATCCATCAACCGTTGGTTCCACTGCATCACTTCATCTCAGTAAATGGCGGTGAAGCAAAAGCTTTTAACAAAGCTTTTTATAACTAAACCAAGATAGAACACAGCCTGTCGTTTCCAATGTGAACAAATGAGTCATAGTGGGCAGAAAAAGCAAGGGGGCCAAAATAAATCTAGTTCCATCTTCTCCAGGCAGGTAGGCTTCCTCTCACTACCATATTTGAAAGTGAGTGGAAACGTCAAGCGGATGCTTCACATTTATACATCCGGTGAAATATCTGTCTCGTTCTATCTGTGCTTTTAAGCTCCCCATCGTTATCAAAACCCAGAAGAAGAAAATTGAATACGTCATTGAAAAAACATGGCGGCATCGTTAGTGCGTTTTGTTCGCGGAGGTTTTAGCAGGACTTTGAATCGTAAGTACATTTCAAGCATTAACTGTGCACTAACATGCTGTCTTCATTTACAGTTAATGTGCGTGATTACGGACCTATATTGTTGTTAAGATCGCGCTATCTGTAGTTAGCCAGTTCTCACTTGACCTTCCGTCAAATCGTCTCGCAAGTCAGTGGTGATGTTCCAGGTCGGAATTTGTTGTCACACTGCGCATCTAGAAGCTTACTAAACGCAAATCAGATGTTGATCATCTTCGCAGTACGACTGAAACAGACGACCTGGAACGCACATTGTCATGTCAGTTATAAACTGACACTAATCAAATCAAATTGTATTGGTCACATGCGCCGAATACAACAGGTGCAGACATTACAGTGAAATGCTTACTTACAGCCCTTAACCAACAGTGCATTTATTTTTAAAAATAAAACAACAACAAAAAAAGTGTTGAGAGAAAAAAAGTAAAATAAAATAACAGTAGGGAGGCTATATATACAGGGGGGTACCGGTGCAGAGTCAATGTGCGGGGGCACCGGCTAGTTGAGGTAGTTGAAGTAATATGTACATGTGGGTAGAGTTAAAGTGACTATGCATAAATAATTAACAGAGTAGCAGCAGCGTAAAAAGGATGGGGTGCGGGGGCAGTGCAAATAGTCCGGGTAGCCATGATTAGCTGTTCAGGAGTCTTATGGCTTGGGGGTAGAAGCTGTTGAGAAGTCTTTTGGACCTAGACTTGGCACTCCGGTACCGCTTGCCGTGCGGTAGCAGAGAGAACAGTCTATGACTGGAGTCTTTGACAATTTTGAGGGCCTTCCTCTGACACCGCCTGGTATAGAGGTCCTGGATGGCAGGAAGCTTGGCCCCAGTGATGTACTGGGCCGTACGCACTACCCTCTGTAGTGCCTTGCGGTCGGAGGCCAAGCAGTTGCCATACCAGGCGGTGATGCAACCAGTCAGGATGCTCTCGATGGTGCAGCTGTAGAATTTTTTGAGGATCTGAGGACCCATGCCAAATCTTTTCAGTCTCCTGAGGGGGAATAGGCTTTGTCGTGCCCTCTTCACGACTGTCTTGGTGTGTTTGGACCATGATAGTTCGTTGGTGATGTGGACACCAAGGAACTTAAAGCTCTCAACCTGTTCCACTACAGCCCCGTCGATGAGAATGGGGGCGTGCTCAGTCCCCTTTTTTTTTCCTGTAGTCCACAAGAATCTCCTTTGTCTTGGTCACGTTGAGGGAGAGGTTGTTGTCCTGGCACCACACGGCCAGGTCTCTGACCTCCTCCCTATAGGCTGTCTCATCGTTGTCGGTGATCAGGCCTACCACTGTTGTGTCGTCGGCAAACTTAATGATGGTGTTGGAGTCGTGCCTGGCCATGCAGTCATGGGTGAACAGAGAGTACAGGAGGGGACTGAGCACGCATCCCTGAGGGGGCCCCGTGTTGAGGATCAGTGTGGCAGATGTGTTGTTACCTACTCTTACCACCTGGGGGCGGCCCGTCAGGAAGTCCAGGATCCAGTTGCAGAGGGAGGTGTTTAGTCCCAGGATCCTTAGCTTAGTGATGAGCTTAGAGGGCACTATGGTGTTGAGTGCTGAGCTGTAGTCAATGAATAGCATCCTCACGTAACAGGCATGTATGCTTATAATACACTATATATACAAAGGTATGTGGACACCCCTTCAAATTTGTGGATTCGGCTATTTCGGCCACACCCGTTGCTGACAGGTGTATAAAATCGAGCACACAGCCATGCAATCTCCATAGACAAACAGACAGTAGAATGGCCTTACTGAAGAGCCCAGTGACTTTCAACGTGGCACCGTTGTCAGTTTGTCAAATGTCTGTCCTGCTAGAGCTGCCCTGGTCAACTGTAAATGCTGTTATTGTGAAGTGGAAACTTCTAGGAGCAACAACAGCTCAGCCGCGAAATTGCAGGCCACACAAGCTCACAGAACAGGACCACAGAGTGCTGTAGTGCGTAAAAATCGTCTGTCCTCGGTTGCAACACTTACTACCGAGTTCCAAACTGCCTCTGAAGGCAATGTCAGCACAATAACTGTTTGTCGGGAGCTTCATGACAGACGAATCTGGGTTTGGCGAATGCCAGGAGAACGCTACCTGCCCAAATGCATAGTGCCAACTGTAAAGTTTGGTGGAGGAGGAATAATGGTCTGGGGCTGTTTTTCATGGTTCGGGCTAGGCTCCTTTAGGGAAGGGAAATCTTAACACTACAGCATGACAATGCCCCCGTGCACAAAGCGAGATCCATACATAAATGGTTTGTCGAGATCGGTGTGTAATAAATTGACTGGCCTGCACAGAGCCCTGACCTGAACTCCATCGAACACCTTTGGGATGAATTGGAATGCTGACTGCGAGCCAGGCCTAATCGCCCAACATCAGTGCCTGACCTCACTAATGCTCTTGTGGCTGAATGGAATCAAGTCCTCGCAGCAATGTTCCAACATATAGTATAAAGCCTTCCAAGAAGAGTGGAGGCTGTTATAGCAGCAAATGGGGGACCAAGTCCATATTAATGCCCATGATTTTGGAATGAGATGTTCGACGAGCAGGTGTCCACATACTTTTGGTCATGTAGTGTATGTATTAGCTAGCTATATCCTTGTTATGATAGTGTTATGTAGCTATAACTGAGTCAAGTAACGTGAAAGTGTTACACAGTCACTTAGCCGCTAGCTAGCGAGCAGTCAACTAGCTCAGAGGAGAGGACCATGCTGGTAATCCAACCCGTTTTAACGTTAGCTAGTCATTGAGTACGTAATGTTATTTTATGTAATATGTTACAGTTGCCAATCGAAGCCCATGTCTCGTGCAAGCGAGATCCGAGACAACTGAAACAAAACGTGAGTATACCAGTGTGTCTAGTATAATTCACCCAGCCCATGGCATTTGTCTTTATGGTGCTCATTGCGATAATCATCATCAGTATGTTGAACCCGCAAAGTCATAGTCCATCCCCAATGTAGTATAATTATCTAACCATTTAGTTTTTTAAATTCAGTCAGTGATCTTTGCAACACTGAATACAATAATGATTGAGTGCAACAATAATTGAATTGCCTCATCCTTTATTTGAATTTATTTCATGTGCCCATCTATGTAGCCACTGTCAGACCCAAGGATGCAGTCACCCATAACCAACTTGCAGCTTTTGGAGAATATGTTGCTGAAATGCTTCCTAAATATGTGCAGCAAGTCCAGGTGAGATAATGTAATTGCAACAACTGCTATAATGAATACAGTCAGCTTTAACACATGACATCCACACAATCATACAATGTTGAGCAACCATTAAGGGAAACTATACTGTAAATCCTAAATGCATATGGTGCGTCTCAAACATGGGGAACATAAGGTTAGAAAGGAGTCCACACTTGGGAATTAAGCTGGCAACCGGAAGGTTGCTGGTATGAAATCCTAGATGCCATTGCCTGCCATTGTGTCCTTGAGCAAGGCACTTAACCTCCTACAACAACAGGTCCCCGGATGCCCAGTGGCAGCCCCCGCACCTCTCCAAAACCTGTTTGTACAGTGGGGAGAACAAGTATTTGATACACTGCCGATTTTGCAGGTTTTCCTACTTAGAAAGCATGTAGAGGTCTGTAATTTTTATCATAGGTACACTTCAACTGTGAGAGACGGAATCTAAAACAAAAATCCAGAAAATCACATTGTATGATTTTTAAGTAATTAATTTGCATTTTATTGCATGACATAAGTATTTGATACATCAGAAAAGCAGAACTTAATATTTGGTACAGAAACCTTTGTTTGCAATTACAGAGATCATACGTTTCCTGTAGGTCTTGACCAGGTTTGCACACACTGCAGCAGGGATTTTGGCCCACTCCTCCATACAGACCTTCTCCAGATCCTTCAGGTTTCGGGGCTGTCGCTGGGCAATACAGACTTTCAGCTCCCTCCAAAGATGTTCTATTGGGTTCAGGTCTGGAGACTGGCTAGGCCACTCCAGGACCTTGAGATGTTTCTTACAGAGCCACTCCTTAGTTGCCATGGCTGTGTGTTTCGGGTCGTTGTCATGCTGGAAGACCCAGCCACGACCCATCTTCAATGCTCTTACTGAGGGAAGGAGGTTGTTGGCCAAGATCTCGCGATACATGGCCCCATCCATCCTCCCCTCAATACGGTGCAGTCGTCCTGTCCCCTTTGCAGAAAAGCATCCCCAGAGAATGCTGTTTCCACCTCCATGCTTCACAGTTGGGATGGTGTTCTTGGGGTTGTACTCATCCTTCTTCTTCCTCCAAACACGGCAAGTGGAGTTTAGACCAAAAAGCTCTATTTTTGTCTCATCAGACCACATGACCTTCTCCCATTCCTCCTCTGGATCATCCAGATGGTCATTGGCAAACTTCAGACGGGCCTGGACATGCGCTGGCTTGAGCAGGGGGACATTGCGTGCGCTGCAGGATTTTAATCCATGACGGCGTAGTGTGTTACTAATGGTTTTCTTTGAGACTGTGGTCCCAGCTCTCTTCAGGTCATTGACCAGGTCCTGCCGTGTAGTTCTGGGCTGATCCCTCACCTTCCTCATGATCATTGATGCCCCACGAGGTGAGATCTTGCATGGAGCCCCAGACCGAGGGTGATTGACCGTCATCTTGAACTTCTTCCATTTTCTAATAATTGCGCCAACAGTTGTTGCCTTCTCACCAAGCTGCTTGCCTATTGTCCTGTAGCCCATCCCAGCCTTGTGCAGGTCTACAATTTTATCCCTGATGTCCTTACACAGCTCTCTGGTCTTGGCCATTGTGGAGAAGTTGGAGTCTGTTTGATTGAGTGTGTGAGTGTGGACAGGTGTCTTTTATACAGGTAACGAGTTCAAACAGGTGCAGTTAATACAGGTAATGAGTGGAGAACAGGAGGGCTTCTTAAAGAAAAACTAACAGGTCTGTGAGAGCCAGAATTCTTACTGGTTGGTAGGTGATCAAATACTTATGTCATGCAATAAAATGCAAATGAATTACTTAAAAATCATACAACATGATTTTCTGGATTTTTGTTTTAGATTCCGTCTCTCACAGTTGAAGTGTACCTATGATAAAAATTACAGACCTCTACATGCTTTGTAAGTAGGAAAACCTGCAAAATCGGCAGTGTATTAAATACTTGTTCTTCCCACTGTATGTGTATATTTTGGAGGGGTTGGGTTAAAAGCGGTTAATTTCGGTTGGACCTTGTGTACAATTGACCACTAAAGTTATCTTAATCTTTATTTACCTTCTTAGAAAGCTTGCTGTTTTGTATAGCTAATTGAGTGTCATTTTGAAGCCATATGAACTTTACAAGTATGCATGTTATATCTTCAGGTGACGTGTTACAATGAGTTGGAGGTGATGATCCATCCTGACGGGGTCATCCCTGTGTTGACCTTTCTGAGAGACCACAGCAACGCTCAGTTCCGAAACATGATTGACCTTACTGCAGTGGACATTCCCACCCGCCAGAATCGCTTTGAGGTACTATTCCGTCCATAGCCCCAGCCTATTGTTCCAATAGGATACCTCTCTCTTCATGACAGTCCTTTGTTATTTTTGCGGTTATAAACATGTTCAGACACAAACATGTCCATAGCTGACATAAGTGAGAATTTAGCCAGATTGTTTTGATGAACCCTGATCTAATCAGAGGTTAAGTTGTTATGTCTAAGTCTATGTTTTCTTTGATGGTGAATAGATTGTGTACAACCTGCTCTCCCTGCGCTACAACTCCCGGATCCGTTTGAAGACCTACACCGACGAGCTCACCCCAGTAGACTCCTCTGTGTCTGTCCACAACGCAGCCAACTGGTACGAGAGGGAGGTAAGTCTGACAGTAACATCATAAGAATGCTTTGCTTGAATGATTCCAAGATTTCTATGTAACATTTTTGTGTTGGCAGCTCAGGATTTATATATTGCCTGCCAAGGCAAATGCTCATGAAAGGATAGGTTTGCAAAGCTAGCAGTAATTTACCAAAGTTACTGGAATCTATGGCAATCTATTGTAACTTTGGTCATTTATACTTGAATACATTTAAAATAAATAAATCATATAGTATATATTTTTTTTATATCTGTCCATATTCTCCATGAGTTTCTAGTTGAGAACATATGGTTAAAGAGAAAATATCCAAATGAATGAAAAAAAAAGCATATAATCATCAATGGCATTATTTTCAATTAACTCTGCAACTCTTCCAACTAATGACTTTTTTCACAACTGCCACCAGTTTGGCGCCAAAACATTTATAACAAAGACATATTGACGCAGTAAAATAAATACCAGTGTGGGGGGAAAAAATATTAAGGATATTTCATGCTGAAACCCATATACAGTGGGGAAAGAAACTATTTAGTCAGCCACCAATTGTGCAAGTTCTCCCACTTAAAAAGATGAGAGGCCTGTAATTTTCATCATAGGTACACGTCAACTATGACAGACCAAAATGAGATTTTTTTTCTCCAGAAAATCACATTGTAGGATTTTTAATGAATTTATTTGCAAATTATGGTGGAAAATAAGTATTTGGTCAATAACAAAAGTTTCTCAATACTTTGTTATATACCCTTTGTTGGCAATGACACAGGTCAAACGTTTTCTGTAAGTCTTCACAAGGTTTTCACACACTGTTGCTGGTATTTTGGCCCATTCCTCCATGCAGATCTCCTCTAGAGCAGTGATGTTTTGGGGCTGTCGCTGGGCAACAGACTTTCAACTCCCTCCAAAGATTTTCTATGGGGTTGAGATCTGGAGACTGGCTAGGCCACTTCAGGACCTTGAAATGCTTCTTACGAAGCCACTCCTTCGTTGCCCGGGCGGTGTGTTTGGGATCATTGTCATGCTGAAAGACCCAGCCACGTTTCATCTTCAATGCCCTTGCTGATGGAAGGAGGTTTTCACTCAAAATCTCACGATACATGGCCCCATTCATTCTTTCCTTTACACGGATCAGTCGTCCTGGTCTCTTTGCAGAAAAACAGCCCCAAAGCATGATGTTTCCACCCCCATACTTCACAGTAGGTATGGTGTTCTTTGGATGCAACTCAGCATTCATTGTCCTCCAAACACGACGAGTTGAGTTTTTACCAAAAAGTTTTATATTTTGGTTTTATCTGACCATATGACATTCTCCCAATCCTCTTCTGGATCATCCAAATGCACTCTAGCAAACTTCAGACGGGCCTGGACATGTACTGGCTTAAGCAGGGGGACACGTCTGGCACTGCAGGATTTGAGTCCCTGGCGGCGTAGTGTGTTACTGATGGTAGGCTTTGTTACTTTGGTCCCAGCTCTCTGCAGGTCATTCACTAGGTCCCCCCGTGTGGTTCTGGGATTTTTGCTCACCGTTCTTGTGATCATTTTGACCCCACGGGGTGAGATCTTGCGTGGAGCCCCAGATCGAGGGAGATTATCAGTGGTCTTGTATGTCTTCCATTTCCTAATAATTGCTCCCACATTTGATTTCTTCAAACCAAGCTGCTTACCTATTGCAGATTCAGATCTTCCCAGCCTGGTGCAGGTCTACAATTTTGTTTCTGGTGTCCTTTGACAGCTCTTTGGTCTTGGCCATAGTGGAGTTTGGAGTGTGACTGTTTGAGGTTGTGGACAGGTGTCTTTTATACTGATAACAAGTTCAAACAGGTGCCATTAATACAGGTAACGAGTGGAGGACAGAGGAGCCTCTTAAAGAAGTTGTTACAGGTCTGTGAGAGCCAGATATCTTGCTTGTTTTTAGGTGACCAAATACTTATTTTCCACTATAATTTGCAAATAAATTCATAAAAAATCCTACAATGTGATTTTCTGGATTTTTTTTTCTCAATTTGTCTGTCATAGTTGACGTGTACCTATGATGAAAATTACAGGCCTCATCTTTTTAAGTGGGAGAACTTGCACAATTGGTGGCTGACTAAATACTTTTTTTCCCCACTGTATTAAGCAACAATGATATTCACTAAGTTGATGGTTTATATTCAGGATAATGTTTTACAGCTTTGTCATTCAATTATTATTTTTTAAACAATATATGTTTTGATTATTTTATATTTGTATATGTTATAAAGCCACATAGAGGGCCAGAGATAACTACAGACACCTGGATAATCTGAAGTACCCAAAAAGGCCACTAGATGTCATAAATAACTTGAATGTTACCAAAATTCTGGTAGTTTACTGGTAAACTTAGAACGTTTTCGGGAATATGCCCTCCCTTTCCAACGCTATAAAATGATATGTTTTGTGCTTGTGTCATTAGGTGTGGGACATGTATGGAGTTTTCTTCGCCAACCACCCTGACCTGAGACGTATTCTGACAGATTATGGGTTTGAGGGGCATCCATTTAGGAAAGACTTCCCACTGTCTGGATTTGTGGAGGTAAGTTCAGACATGAATGCTGAGAAATGTCCCATGTAGTGCACATACATTAAAGGCCAAATTATAACTTAATCCTGTCCTAAGATCTGTACATGTGACTTCACATTACTGAAGGATTGTATCTACCACAGGAGGCTGGTGGCACCTTAATTGGGGAGGACGGGCTTTTGGTAATGGCTGAATGAGTGGAATGGTATCAAATGAATCAAACATATGGTTTCCATGTGTTTGATGTCATTTCCATTCGCTCCGTTCCAGACATTATTATGAGCCGTCGTCCCCTCATCAGCCTCCACTGGTATCTACTATGTTGTTCATTCTGTCCATCTGGTACATCTCAGGTGCGTTATGATGATGAGGTGAAGCGTGTGGTGGCAGAGCCTGTGGAGCTCTCACAGGAGTTTCGTAAGTTTGACCTGAACAGCCCATGGGAGGTGTTCCCAGCCCACCGTGAGGCCAAGGCACCTGAGCTGCCAGCTGGGGATAAGCCAGCTGACAAGTAACCATCTACCCCAGAGATAGAATCCCCACACCTATATATAATATGTCTGTACTGTTGATGGACCCATGTCCCGCTTGAGCCCACTCAAGTATTTATGTAAATAAAAACAAAAGGTAAACATTTATTAGTTTGTCTTGATATTTTTCCATTAGTTGGATGTGCTGAATAGAGATGACATTTTGACTGTGTATGTTTCAACTCTAGTAGACTGTAGCACTAGCACCTCCATGAGAATCATGGTGGAAACCCAGACCTTACCTGCCTTACCATACCAGACCAAAAGAGGGCACTGTGTACATGTTTAAAAGCAGTGCAGGTTATATTGTACAAATCATTGACTTATATTCAAGACCACAAATGATGTACATGTTTAAATGTTATTATTGGATCAAATTGCTTTGTATATTTATATATTATTGAGGTCTATCTACAGTACAAGTCAAAAGTTTGGATACACCTACTCATTCAAGGGTTTTTCTTTAATTTTACTATTTTCTACATTGTAGAAGAATAGTGAAGACATCAAAACTATGAAATAACACATATGGAATCATGTAGTAACCAAAAAAGTGTTAAACAAATCTAAATATATTTTATATTTGAGATTCTTAAAATAGCCACCCTTTGCCTCGATGACAGCTTTGCACATTCTTGGCATTCTCTCAACCAGCTTCATTTTTGGGGGGGGGGGTCATTGGCAAATGAAAAAACAAGTTCTCATTTACAACTGCGACCTGGCCAAGATAAAGCAAAGCAGTGCGATTAAAAACAACAACACAGAGTTACATATGGAATAAACAAAACATAAAGTCAAAAATACAAACAGAAAATATATATACAGTGTGTGCGAATGTAGTAAGTTATGGAGGTAAGGCAATAAATAGGCCATAGTGCAAAATAGTTAAAATGTTGTATTAACACTGGAATGATAGATGTGCAAAAGATGATGTGCAAATAGAGATACTGGGGTGCAAATTAGCAAAATAAATAATATGGGGATGAGGTAGTTGGGTGGGCTAATTTCAGAATGGCTGTGTACAGGTGCAGTGATTGGTAAGCTGCTCTGACAACTGACGCTTAAAGTTAGTGAGGGAGATAAGAGTCTCCAGCTTCAGAGATTTTTGCAGTTTGTTCCAGTCATTGGCAGCAGAGAACTGGAAGGAATGGCGGCCAAAGGAGGTGTTGGCTTTGGGGATGACCAGTGAGAGATACCTGCTGGAGCACAGACTACGGGTGGGTGTTGCTATGGTGACTAGTGAGCTAAGGTAAGACAGGGATTTGCCTAGCAGTGATTTATAGATGACCTGGAGCCAGTGGGTTTGGCGACGAATATGTAGTGAGGGCCAGCCAACAAGAGCGTACAGGTCACAATGGTGGGTAATATAGGGGGCTTTGGTGACAAAACGGATGGCACTGTGATAGACTACATCCAATTTGCTGAGTAGAGTGTTGGAGGCTATTTTGTAAATGACATCGCCGAAGTCAAGGATCGGTAGGATAGTCAGTTTTACGAGGGCATGTTTGGCAGCATGAGTGAAGGAGGCTTTGTTGCGAAATTGGAAGCCGATTCTAGATTGAACTTTGGATTGGAGATGCTTAATGTGAGTCTGGAAGGAGAGTTTACAGTCTAACCAGACACCTAGGTATTTGTAGTTGTCCACATACTTTAGGAGAGACCCGCAGAGAGTAGTGATTCTAGTCGGGTGGGCGGGTGCAAGCAGCGTTCGATTGAAGAGCATGCATTTAGTTTTACTAGTGTTTAAGAGCAGTTGGAGGCTACGGAAGGAGTGTTGTATGGCGTTGAAGCTCGTTTGGAGGTTTGTTAACACAGTGTCCAATGAAGGGCCAGATGTATACAAAATGGTGTCGTCCGCATAGAGGTGGATCCGAGCTTCACCAGCAGCAAGAGCAACATCATTGATATACACAGAGAATAGAGTCGGCCCGAGAATTGAACCCTGTGGCACCCCCATAGATGGCCAGAGGTCCAGACAACAGGCCCTCCAATTTGACACATTGAACTCTATCTGAGAAGTAGTTGGTGAACCAGGTGAGGCAGTCATTAGAGAAACCAAGGCTATTTAGTCTTCCAATAAGAATGGGGTGGTTGACAGAGTCGAAAGCCTTGGCCAGGTCGATGAAGACGGCTGCGCAGTACTGTCTTTTATCGATCGCGGTTATAATATTGTTTAGGACCTTGAGCGTGGCTGAGGTGCACCCATGACCAGCTCGGAAACCGGATTGCATAGCGGAGAAGGTACGGTGGGATTCAAAATGGTCGGTGATCTGTTTGTTAACTTGGGTTTCAAATACTTTCGAAACGCAGGGCAGGATGGATATAGGTCTGTAACAGTTTGGTTGAGTGTCACCCCCTTTGAAGAGGGGGATGACTGCGGCAGCTTTCCAATCTCTGGGGATCTCAGACGTTACGAAAGAGAGGTTGAACAGGCTAGAAATAGGGGTTGCGACAATTTCGGCGGCTAATTTTAGAAAGAAAGGGTCCAGATTGTCTAGCCCAGCTGATTTGTAGGGGTCCAGATTTTTCAGCTCTTTCAGAACATCAGCTGTCTGAATTTGTGTGAAGGAGAAGCGGGGGGGGCATGGGCAAGTTGCAGCGAAGGGTGCAGAGCTGGTGGCCGGGGTAGTGGTAGCCAGGTGGAAAGCATGGCCAGCCGTAGCAAAATGCTTGTTGAAATTCTCGATTATTGTAGATTTATCAGTGGTGACAGTGTTTCCTAGCCTCAGTGCAGTGGGCAGTTGGGAGGAGGTGCTCTTATTTTCCATGGACTTTACAGTGTCCCCAAACTTTTTGGAGTTAGTGCTACAGGATGCAAATTTCTGTTTGAAAAAGCTAGCCTTTGCTTTCCTAACTGATTGTGTATATTGGTTCCTGACTTCCCTGAAAAGTTGCATATTGCGGGGGCTGTTCGATGCTAATGCAGTACGCCACAGGATGTTTTTGTGCTGGTCAAGGGCAGTCAAGTCTGAGGAGAACCAGGGGCTATATCTGTTCTTAGTTCTGATTTTTTTGAATGGGGCATGCTTATTTAAGATTGAGAGGAAAGCACTTTTAAAGAACATGAGGTAGTCATCTGGAATGCATTTATATTAACAGGTGTGCCTTAACTTAATTTGTGGAATTTCTCTCCTTGTTAATGTGTTTGAGCCACCCTTTGCCTTGATGACAGCTTTGCACACTCTTGGCATTCTCTCAACCAGCTTCACCTGGAATGCTTTTCCAACAGTCTTGAAGGAGTTCCCACATGGTGAGCACTTGTTGGCTGCTTTTCCTTCACTCTGCTGTCCGACTCATCCCAAACCATCTCAATTGGGTTGAGGTTGGGGGATTGTGGAGGCCAGGTCATCTGATGCAGCACTCCATCACTCTCCTTGGTAAAATAGCCCTTACACAGCCTGGAGGTGTGTTGGGTCATTGTCCTGTTGAAAAACAAATGATAGTCCCACTAAGCCCAAACCAGATGGCATATTGCTGCAGAATGCTGTGGTAGCCATGCTGGTTAAGTGTGCCTTGAATTCTAAATAAATCACAGACAGTGTCACCAGCAAAACACCCCCACACCATAACACCTCCTCCTCCATGCTTTACGGTGGGAACTACACATGCAGAGATCATCCGTTCACCCACACTGCGTCTCACAAAGACATGTCGGTTGGAACCAAAAATCTCCAACTTTGACTCGAGACCAAAGGACAAATTTACACCAGTCTAATGCTCGTGTTTCTTGGCCCAAGCAGGTCTCTTCTTCTTATTGGTGTCCTTTAGTAGTGGTTTCTTTGCAGCAATTTGACTATGAAGGCATGAGTCACACCATCCCCTATGAACAGTTGATGTTGAGATGTGTCTGTGACTTGAACTCTGTGAAGCATTTATTTGGGCTGCAATTTCTGAGGCTGGTAACTCTAATGAACTTATCCTCTGCAGCAGAGGTAACTCTTGGTCTTCCATTCCTGTGGCGGTCCTAATGAGAGCCAGTTTCATCATAACGCTTGATGGTTTTTGCGACTGCAGTTGAAGAAACTTTAAAAGTTCTTGAAATGTTCCATATTGACTGACCTTCCTGTCTTGAAGTAATGAAGGACTGTCATTTCTCTTTGCTTATTTGAGCTGTTCTTGCCATAATATGGACTTGGTCTTTTACCAAATAGGGCTATCTTCTGTATACCCCCCTCCCACCAACCTTGTCACAACACAACTGATTGGCTCAAACACATTAAGAAGGAAAGAAATTCCACAAATGAACTTTTAAGAAGGCACACCTGTTAATTGAAATGGATTCCTACCTCATGAAGCTGGTTGAGAGAATTCCAAGAGTGTGCAAAGCTGTCATTAAGGCAAAGGGTGGCTATTTGAAAAATCTCAAATATATTTAGGTTTGTTTAACACTTTTTTGGTTACTACATGATCCCATATGTGTTATTTCATAGTTTTGATGTCTTCACTATTATTCTACAATGTAAAAATAAAAAAAACTTGAATGAGTAGGTGTCCAAACATTTGACTGGTACTGTATGTCTCATGAGTCAATTAGCATCATGCGGATATAAGCTCTCCCAATGGGCACGGTCAAATTCACTGACATAGATGTACTTTCTACCAATAAGAGTACAGAAAAATAAACATTAACATTATTTATTCTGCTTCACATATTCCAAAGCATCCATTGTATGAGAAATATTTTGAACATCTCAAGGAGCCAACAAGAAGCAGACTGTACTAACACATTGGTTGAATGTACCCAGGGCTAAATCTATGCAGTTTACAATCATTCCTTTATAAGGACAAAGATACAAAGCACAGGTCACCAACATAACACTTACAACAAAGTTATTTACAAAAAATCACGTATGGATAGAAATACGGTCTCATTACAAAGAAGATCTGCAAAGCTGTTAGACGATTATTCTCCATGACAGCATGCATGAAATTATAAGTCAAAATATTCTTTAAGACTCAATTCCCAAAATCATAATGCTTGTTATCTCTCTGGAAATGGATCTCACTGAGCTCTAAGAAATAATACTTTTGGTGTTTCCTTACTCCCTCACAAGTTGTCATGCTAGTGGTATTTAAATATAATTAAAGCTCTTATACAAATTTGGTCCACTCAACTCAACAAGTCTATTTCCTATTGCAGTCCATGCACAGAGTGATTGAAATTAGAACTACAAAGCAAATTATAAACTATAATTTTCGCATAGAAATTGAAAAATTATACATCAGTGTCAAATATTTTTCAATTCGCTATATCAAAAAAGTAATTCCACCCTCAAAGTACAAAAGTTGCCACAATTAGTGACTCTTGGGTATTAGGGAGTCGAGTGTGATGAAGGATGAGCTCCAAAAGTAGGTTGTGTAAGGGCAGCACCACAGGAGTGAGTATATGCCTGACTCACAGCAGTCACAGGCAGGTTAGCGTTTTTCTTCATGAATCTTATTCTGGAGGCAGCTGTGCAGTGGTCAATAGCTGGCACAGCCACAATGTCATAAAATCTGATTTTAAACATAACCTTAACTACACTGCTAACCCTAATGCCTAACCTTAAATTAAGACCAAAAATAAAATGGCCCATCTCGTGGAAATGTCTGAGTTCTGTATCCAGGGCAAGATTCATGACAATAAACGTCAATCTGCTATTCACATAGTAGATTACCATTAATTGGGAGACTAACTATTACTGAAATACTGTCTCATTATTCAGTAAGTGTCACATTTTGTGTTTATGCCTTTCGGGGCGGCAGGTAGCTTAGTGGTTAAGAGCGTTGTGCCAGTAACCGAAAGGTCGCTGGTTCTAATCCCCGAGCCGACTAGGTGAAAAATCTGTCGATGTGCCCTTGAGCAAGGCACTTAACCCTAATTGCTCCTGTAAGTCGCTCTGGATAAGAGCGTCTGCTAAATGACTAAAATGTAAATGAAGAGACACTAATTCAAACTAAAAAGAAACACTACCCAGAGATGATGGTGTACAGAACCCAATAGGCCCACAATACTGATGTGGAGAATCAAAAGAAAGTATTTGCTGGAGCGTAACATTACAATTGGACTATATGCTATTTAAAATATGTTGTTTAAATGACCTCTCAAACTGAGACTGTAATTTGCTGAAGTCTGGCACAATTTGAACAGCATTTTTCTCTCTTGGGGTGTATGAATTAAACCGGCACGATTATCATAAGGGATGGTATAGGCAATTCCATTTTCTTCACAGCGGTCACCATCTGAGGAAATGAATTAAACTCTGCTAAATTAGAAATCAAATTATGAGCCTGGTGCCCCAAGGTCCAAAACAAGCATGTGCTCTGTGAGGATGTGCTCAGACTTCAAGCTACAACCAGGGTGAGTATGGTGTCTGTATTTGTCCAATGGACAGCCCTGCAGGGTAAGGAGAAATTTAATTCTGAGTGTTGATCATGCTTTTTGGTTCAAAAAAACACTGGCCTTAGCAGAAACTCACTCTAAAATGAAGGAAAAATACTCATTTTGACACAAAACAAGTGTCCCCATTATTTGACCATGCCTTTCAAGATATTGATAAAGGTATGTTAAAAATCCAGATAAGTAAGTATTAACTGAGATATCATATCCTGAAAATATCAGAAATGCTAGCATGTAGTAACATCTTAATTCATTCAAGACTCCAAGTTGGAGTTTGACAAAGTAAACCCATTGAAATAATTAGTTGGACATAGAATAATTGAGTGTAGTAGGTCCACAGCCAAATGTGTTCTTGACACTGTCCCTTATGGCTTCCGAGTCTGCTGTTGCTGCTGATTGGTGGCTGGTTTTTGGAGTTCTGGATAGACCAGGAAGCCAGTGAAGGTAATATACTTGGCATGGTTGCTGTATGCTCCAAAGCCATCGCGCTGGTGGCTATAAAGCCAGACGATATCACCATGGCGCAGAGACAGCATCAGACTCTGGCTCTGCAGAGCCTTCTCAGTGTCACTGTCATCATAGATCATGGCCTGCACCTCCAGGTGGTTCTTCATCAGCTTGACTGACAGTGTTTTGTGGGGAAGCTTGCCAGCATTGAAGGAGAAGAAGTAGGTTCCTGGAATACGGCAGGTGAATACACCTTCAGTGACGTTAAAGTCAGCGCCAATGTTGACAAAGTCTGTGTCAAATGCGATAGGACGGTGCTCTGGGAAGCCCTGGTCCACCCCTACGATGCTCTGAGTGCGGCCAACAGAGAAGGCTGACCTCTGGTCCTCCTCTTCATCCTCTACCTCCTCTCTCTTCTCTACGTTGTCCCTTTCTCCCAGCCCATCCTGGTCTGTTAGGGTGTGGTCATTGGCAGTCGCTTCGTTTCCATGCATGGGAGTTGGGTCCTCGTTCTTGGGGTCTTGGAAGGTGTAGGTGTCAGGGTAGATTAGGTAGCCGTTAAAGGTGGTGTAGTGACCAGTGTTGCTGTAGATGGCATAGCGGGGGTCACCGTGAAGGCGGAGCCAGACTGTGTCACCAAAGTCCAGCTGTAGCATGGCACTTTGGCTCTGCACCTTACGCTCCTCTCCCGCATTCTCATCATACACAATGGCCTGCACCTCATTCCTGTTCTTCATTAGCATGACTGACAGGTCACGACGGGGGAACTTCCCCACTGTGAAGGAGAAGTAGTATGCTCCGGGGATGCGGCAGCGGAACATGCCTGCCTTTGAATCAAAGTCCCCACCGATGTTAACATACTCCTTGTCAAAGGTCACCACCATCTTTGGTCCACCCTCCATGCTGCTGGTGCGTGCCACTGAGAAGGCAGACCGCTGTTCTGCATCCTCAGGCAGGCGAGCGAAGGCCCACGTGCAGGTTACATGACACATCAGGCCAATCAGGAGACGGCTAGCTGGTATCGTCATCTTTCCTGTTGGGAAAAGGATTGACCCAGTTAATAACACAACAAAGTCAGGTGCTTAATCTCAATATAATACACAACAGATATACTCTACTCTGAATTGACTGTGTGTCAACTATCGAATAGCTCAAGGCTTTGCCAGCTCAATTCAGAAGTAAAATCAGAAACAAGTGAGATTGTTATTAGTGATTCAGTCCCACCTGGATCCATTGAGGATTCAATCTTCTCTGAGACACTTGCTTTGAAAATATGTTTACCCCAAACGGAAGCAGCATTAATACGTTCCTAATTAGCATAGGCTTTCATTTTACTCGGCTAATGAAGGAACAAAAAAGATAGACAATAATATTTGCCCTCGGCTGTCCGAGGTGCCAAACCAACTGGAGATAACACACATTCACCTTCACTCGAAGTCATCTGTTTACTCAACATCAATTATATCACAACTTAATTCTCTCCTGTCTCATCACTATATTGAACCCAATATCTTTGTAAATGTGATAGTGCTTTGACAAAGGAGCTTGCTCTGAAACACGTCAGCAATCAACATCATTGAAAGGAATTAAGCTGCTGTCCTGAACCTTCTTTTATAATTGCATCTTTGTAAATGTTTTAACATTCTCTATGTGCAAGTTATTATAGTCAGTGAGCATAATTATGTCCACCATTTAAAGGCTTGATCCCAAATACAAAGTCACACTAACCGGACTGTTATTTTTTTTAAATTGAGGGTTAACAAAGTCTGGTCTACTAGGTCCTATCATGTGTCAAATGTCTGTGTATGTTGCAGTAATTATTGATTTTAGGATCAATGCGGGCAGATTTCGCTATCATTGTCATTACCTAGTACAAATTTGTCCCTATCTTCTGGTGAGGTTCAAAACATCTATTTGTGTCTAATGAGACGCTGCTGATGCAATACATCATCTTCTCTTCCTGCCTGTGTGGTCATCAGTAAAGCCATAACAGAAGCGGACCTGTCAGAAGGAGTTTCAGGCAATGTCTTAAGTTCACTTTACCAACATACAGTAGGTTATTCCATGGGGAGTCTGCTAATTTCAAACAGTAAAAAATTAGATCCCATGGGATTGATATTACTAGTTATAAACAGCACTTGGGCTGAAATGAACACAATACACATAGTTCTCTTCCTTGCCTCTATCATTAAATTGGGTCTGAACTCACCGATTCTGCATGTGATTTTCTGCTGTTCATGAATAAAGACGAGATTTGCATCTTGGGGATGTGGTTCGATGTGGGTGTGTTATGTTTGCTATATCCTACCCTGGCAGTTATTGTTGTTTGTCCCTCTTGAGTCACGGTCGCAACAATTCGCCCTCAAAATATTCAGAATTAATCTAAGATAAATCAAGAAATCTATAATTAATTTGGACGTTTTGTTTTTACAACTTTCTCACTATCTATTACCAGAGTTTGCGTCTGTCTGGCAGTGTTAAATAGCAAATCATGTTACAAAACAGGTCGCGGCAGAACACAAGACGCTTGCAAATGGGATTTGAATTCTGGAATAATGACAAGTAGCTGTTGGGATGCAAGTGCGCAATGTCTCAATTCTCATTTAGCCCAAAACAGTGGCAGACTCAATGATCACTATCAAACACATCAGCATGTGGCCACTCGATAAAGGGCTTATGAGCCAATTGTGATCTTTCAACATAACATTGGTGACGTGTTGTCTTATGTAAACCAGTCAGAGGTGCTGCATAATGTGAGCAGGTCTGTCTCACTGTCTGTAGGTTCTGCTGTACAATTGGATAGAGCACAATCAGTGCAGCTGTTTCTCCATGCATGACAATTCTCCCTAGGCGTTACCATCCCGTGTTAGTGGGCAAGTGGACATGATCGAAATGAAATATCCAATGGAACTAGGAATGTAACAGCTGTTGCAAATCTCAGTTTTGGAAGATACTGACTTTATGATTAAAATTATGCTATTTACACATTGTAGTACATTTTTACACTGACTAATATCGATGCAACATAGGCCGTTTTCAACTAGAGAAATATTTTTGGGCTTAAGCTGCTCTTTAAGGACTGTGAGGCTATCGGTCAAAGACAGTTCTAGTATTGTGTGACAGCAGCCTCAATGATTTGCTACATTCTGCATTTGACCAGCCTGCTGCAAAGAGGTTGCTCATTTCTTTATGGTTGATTCAGAGTGACATGTTGAAACATGCTCCATGAGCGCAGCATCCCTGTTTCCATCCAAAGATGAATCAATCGCTAGTGAATAAATCTAAATAGCAAGCCTTTGATGCTGACTGAGAGCTGAGTCTTACAGTGAATGTGACATTGTCTGTGTGGATATTCATCACATCTTCAATTACATTGGAGGCATTTACAATTCTATTTTTTTTCTATTCAACCAAATATCAACAGAATACATAATCATTTCCATTTTGAATGTTGATAGCTTTGTTTGTAATTATTTAAAATTCTGAAATCTATTTTGAGTGCATGCATGTGTGCATGTTTTTTTGGGGGACGCTGTGAAATAATCAGGCCTATGAGAGTCCAAAATGTGTTAGGTTGAGCAGCATTTCCTCACTTTAATGTTGTTGGTGAAAAGCATTCCACCACGCTGAGCCATCTGCTAGAGGTGATAACAAAGAAATGCTCAGAAATGAATAAGTCCCAATGGTGGCCAAATAGTCTCATCCCTGGAGTGTGGATGGATCCAAAAGTGGGCCTAGGTTGTGGAATGTTAATTTAGATAAGTGCAATAGGTAGACTCTCAGTTTAGGGATATTACTTAAACGTAAGTATTAGCCTATCGTACATTTGCAATGAAATTAATCAATTACTGGAATGAATTCTCGTAGTATACTCAAGTAAAATGTCACATACTATATGACAAATATGATATGTCATATGTGCAACATATACAGTGAGGGAAAAAAGTATTTGATCCCCTGCTGATTTTGTACGTTTGCCCACTGACAAAGAAATGATCAGTCTATAATTTTAATGGTAGGTTTATTTGAACAGTGAAAGACAGAATAACAACAAAAAAATCCAGAAAACACATGTCAAAAATGTTAGAAATTGATTTGCATTTTAATAAGGGAAATAAGTATTTGACCCCTTTGCAAAACATGACTTAGTACTTGGTGGCAAAACCCTTGTTGGCGGCAATCACAGAGGTCAGACGTTTCTTGTAGTTGGCCACCAGGTTTGCACACATCTCAGGAGTGATTTTGTCCCACTCCTCTTTGCAGATCTTCTCCAAGTCATTAAGGTTTTGAGGCTGACATTTGGCAACTCGAACCTTCAGCTCCCTCCACAGATTTTCTATGGGATTAAGATCTGGAGACTGGCTAGGCCACTCCAGGACCTTAATGTGCTTCTTCTTGAGCCACTCCTTTGTTGCCTTGGCCGTGTGTTTTGGGTCATTGTCATGCTGGAATACCCATCCACGACCCATTTTCAATGCCCTGGCTGAGGGAAGGAGGTTCTCACCCAAGATTTGACAGTACATGGCTCCGTCCATCGTCCCTTTGATGCGGTGAAGTTGTCCTGTCCCTTTAGCAGAAAAACACCCCCAAAGCATAATGTTTCCACATCCATGTTTGACGGTGGGGATGGTGTTCTTGGGGTCATAGGCAGCATTCCTCCTCCTCCAAACACGGCGAGTTGAGTTGACGCCAAAGAGCTCAATTTTGGTCTCATCTGACCACAACACTTTCACCCTGTTCTTCTCTGAATCATTCAGATGTTCATTGGATTTCTTTCTGAGGCAGAAGCTACTACTTTTAAGTGTTCATATAGTGGTGGCCCTATGACCTTTTCTATCCCATTTTATATCCCTCTGTGGATTCTGTGGATGAAAACAAACAGAGGGCCATTGTTCCTGGGTGGGGACACAACCTCCCCATCTGCTAGGGTCAAAATGAAAGAAGCACTTGTCACTACCATGTACAGTTTCATATGTCTCCACAGCTTTTCAGACATGGATATCAGATGCATTTTCTGTGTCCCCATAAAGTGGGTACATGTTTTAATACAGTACAGTGCATGTCATCTTTACAGTTCCAAGGTTTGCAAGCAGAATTGCACACAAAACATCCATTGTGCTCTGAACAAATATTTCCGTAGCTCCCAATAATTCCTTGAGTTAATCCCACCCACCAGAAGCACAATTGAAAACGCTTTGTCTGCTGAATCTTGTAGGCAGGGAGACAGGATTACTAAAACCTCATCATTTGGCATTGACCCACAAAAATATGTAATCAAGCACAAACTAATTTGTGCAAGCACATAACCGTGGCAATAGCACTGCTGTCAAGTGTAAAAATCAACAGCGTTTAAAAATATGCCCTGATAATTAGGTTTTCAATAACCCAGCATACCCACAATCCAGGTGTTGTTTATATAGGATTATGTTAATCAGACATCATCATGTTGCTGCAGCATATTTCAGGTTCATGCTATGTGATACACAAGGTTTAAATTGCTTCAAACTTTGAAAAAAATCTATAGTTGTTTATTGCATTCTCATGTTTTGGTCTGTTTTCAAACCCACCATGGGTCTATTTTCAAATATGAGAAGTGGCTTCTTTTATTTATTCATATTGTTCTTCTATACTTCTTCTTATATTTCAACTTACAGAATATACTACACAGAGGATAATACTGTATATCCCACTCATGAAAATCAACAGAGAAAAAACAAGTTAAAAGCCTACATTTTCATAGAAACTAAAATGAGACTTGTTGTTTTTTTACATGTTCAAAGAACATCATTGCCACACACCTAAAGGGAATGAGAGGCAATCTCAAGCGAGCCACTCAATCTCTCTTATAGGCATAAAGTGGTGAAATAGTCCCCTCTCTACCATATGATCAGCCTCTGAACATGACCTGCTCAATCCTAATTCCAGCATAATAGCATCTCTCTGTCAGCTATCTGTGGTAATTCATGTGGTCCTCTGTAGCTCAGCTGGTAGAGCACGGCGCTTGTAACGCCAAGGTAGTGGGTTCAAT